GGAGGCCAGGCACAGGATACAGAATAGGAGATGAAGTACTTAATGAAACAGACAGAGAGAAAGATCTAGGAGTTGATATCACACCAAACCTGTCTCCTGAAGCCCACATAAAGAGAATAACGTCTGCGGCATATGCGAGGCTGGCTAACATCAGAACGGCGTTCAGGAACCTGTGTAAGGAATCATTCAGAATCTTGTACACCACATATGTAAGACCAATCCTGGAGTATGCGGCCCCAGCATGGAGCCCGTACCTTGTCAAGCACAAGACGAAGCTGGAAAAAGTCCAAAGGTATGCTACTAGACTAGTCCCAGAACTAAGAGGCATGAGTTATGAGGAAAGGCTGCGGGAAATGCACCTCACGACACTGGAAGACAGAAGAGTACCTGGTTGATACCTGGTTGATGGGGTTCTGGGAGTTCTTCTACTCCCCAAGCCCGGCCCGAGGCCAGGCTCGACTTGTGAGAGTTTGGTCCACCAGGCTGTTGCTTGGAGCGGCCCGCAGGGCCACGTACCCACCACAGCCCGGCTGATCCGGAACTTCTCTTAGAAAACCGTCCAGTTTTCTCTTGAAGATGTCCACGGTTGTTCCGGCAATATTTCTTATGCTCGCTGGGAGGACGTTGAACAACCGCGGACCCCTGATGTTTATACAGTGCTCTCTGATTGTGCCTATGACACCTCTGCTCTTCACAGGTTCAATCTTGCATTTTCTTCCATATCGTTCACTCCAGTACGTTGTTATTTTACTGTGTAGATTTGGGACCTGACCCTCCAGTATTTTCCAGGTGTATATTATTTGGTATCTCTCTCGTCTCCTTTCTAGAGAGTACATTTGGAGAGCTTTGAGACGATCCCAATAATTTAGGTGTTTTATCTCGTCTATGCGTGCTGTATATGTTCTCTGTATTCCCTCTATTTCAGCAATCTCTCCTGCTCTGAAGGGGGAAGTGAGTACTGAGCAGTACTCGAGACGGGACAGCACAAGTGACTTGAAGAGTACAACCATTGTGATGGGATCCCTGGATTTGAAAGTTCTCGTAATCCATCCGATCATTTTTCTGGCTGACGCGATATTTGCTTGGTTATGCTCCCTAAACGTTAGATCGTCGGACATCATTATTCCCAAATCCTTGACATGCTGTTTTCCTACTATGGGAAGATTCGATTGTGTTTTGTACCCTGTATTATGTTTCAGATCCTCATTTTTGCCGTACCTGAGTACCTGAAATTTATCACTGTTAAACATCATGTTATTTTCTGCTGCCCAATCAAAAACTTTGTTGACATCTGCTTGTAGTTTTTCAATGTCTTCAGCAGAGGTAATTTTCATGCTGATTTTTGTGTCATCTGCAAAGGACGACACGAAGCTGTGGCGTGTATTTTTGTCTATATCAGATATGAGAATAAGGAACAAAGGGGGGACATGATCACAACCTACAAAATCCTCAGGGGAATCGACCGGGTAAACAAGGACGAACTTTTCAACACTGGTGGGACGCGAACAAGGGGACACAGGTGGAAGCTGTGAGCCACAGAGCCACCCAAATGAGCCACAGAGACGTTAGAAAGAACTTTTTCAGTGTCAGAGTAGTTAGCAAATGGAATGCATTAGGAAGTGATGTGGTGGAGGCTGACTCCATTCACAGTTTCAAATGTAGATATGATAGAGCCCAATAGGCTCAGGAATCTGTACACCAGTTGATTGACGGTTGAGAGGCGGGACCAAAGAGCCAGAGCTCAACCCCCGCAAGCACAATTAGGTGAGTACACACACACACGCACGCACGCACACACACACACACACACGCACACACACACACACACACGCGCACACACACACACACACACACACACACACACACACACGCACACGCACGCGCACACACACACACACACACACACACACACACACACACACACACACGCACGCAACAGCGTCACAATCGATTGTGGGAGGCATTGACGGGAGGGCGGCGGCGATGACGTCACTACACAGCTGCAGACTTGCCTTACTGAGAGGGGAAGGTTGGGGGAGGACTTGGGGCGGGGAAGGTTGGGGAGGACTTGGGGCGGGGAAGGTGGGGGAGGACTTGGGGCGGGGAAGGTGGGGGAGGACTTGGGGCGGGGAAGGTGGGGGAGGACTTGGAGCGGGGAAGGTGGGGGAGGACTTGGGGTGGGGAAGGTGGCTACCTACTATAGCCTTGTACTTGCTGCACTTAACTATTCTAACTCAAGTTCTTTGGCGAGTCGGGTCCTAAAGTTGTGGCTGGAGGTGGCTTCCAGTACTGCTTCTCTCAGTATAACACTTGTTGACTGTCCGTACAGTGTACCAGTATTTCTTAACATGTCTTCGTGTGTGGTAGAGAGCGTCCTCGCCCGCTCCACGGCCACCTATGTGACGGGGTCGGGAAAAGGGAATGAAAAGTAGTAAATGATGAAGTAATGAGTGAGGGTTTGGGGTGAGGGAGGTAGAGAGGACGGAGGAGTATGGGAGTAGCGAGGAGTACTTAGGTAGAGAGATAGGAGGGAGGAGTAAGGAAGGAGTGGTCAGGGGAAAGGGGAGGTTAGAGGGAGGAAGAGAATTGGATCACTGGGGGAAGTAGAAGTTAGTGTCGAGGACCGGGCCGCGGGGACACTAAAGCCCCGAAATCATCTCAAGATAACCTCAAGATAGTGGAGTAATAGAAGAGGTAGAAGAGTGGAAGTAGAGGTAGAAAGGGCTGCCACCATCCATTCTAAATTCAGTACATACAAGACAAGGAATGGAACTTGTCTGTATCACAAAATTATCAAAGATGTTGTTAGCATGTATTAGCTAGACTCGTGTACTTGTACATGCAAGATTCTTTAAAGCAACAAACTCAGAGTGCTCTACACTCGGGCTTGGGATATATCAGAATCATCCCATCCTCTGAATTGACAGTACGGTTTATAACTAAGTGTTAATAAGTTCATTTCCTGACTGTTAGGGATAGTACATAATTCCACTTGTGCCATTACATTTACCTCCTCAATTATTCTCCTCGTTTTCTGTTAAGACACTTAGAATTTCAGGATGAAGTTTTCAAGTTCAATTTGCTATACACAAGTTTTAAATATCAGGAATTTCTTTTTCAGCTTTATTAAACAATAGAGATTGTATACAAAATTTGAAAATATACTGAGTTACTTTACATTTTATTGTAATATTTTTGTTTTGTTTTATTAGTTTTATAAAACTGTAATATCAATATAGCTATAGGTTAAGTACTAATTGTAATTAAGAAACAATAAAATGCTTATCTTCAAACACTAAGAAGGTTAGGCTAGGTCGTGGTTTTGTATTCAGCTTTTCAGGTAAACTCAAATATTTACAATATATTTGACAGTACGGTTTAATACTAATTGAAAATAAGTACATTTCTTGACTGCTAGGAACAGTACATAATTACACTTATATGTGCTGTTACATTTACCTCCCCATTTTTGGAGGACGGGCTGCAGAAAATACAAGATCTAGGGAACAAAATTAAAGACAATTTAAACAATAAATTCATAAATTATATTCAACATGATAAATATCATAATTCAAGCAATTTAACTTAATGTTCACTATGTCAAGATTAATATACAATGAGTCATTACACAAGACATTGAGTACACTACAGGTGTCTGCCCCTGATAATCACACAACACCTTAAGTTTGTAAAACACGATATAAGTCACCTCAACGTTCACTCACCAATTGTCTGAGTAGAGGTTGAATAGAGGGGGGTGGGGGTGGGGGGGGGGGGGTTGGAAGGGGTTGACATGCAGAGTCCCCACCCAGCCTGACAGTCTGGACTGGCTGCTGCTCAGTCGTCCAGCCTCTCTGTCTGTTCTGTTCTCTGCTGCGCTGTGCTATCGAATGTACAGTTCCCTGGGTATTTATTGCGAATGTGGGAGCTAAACTCCGCCCACAAGTAAGATAGCCTAAGGCTCTCTACCAACCACACCTTAGCCAGCGGCTTGTTTGATGGAAAGACACCACCAACCGTCGGCAATTATCGGCTTATCAGAAGCAAGTTCAATTCACACGACCTGACCCCTGGACAACTTGTGGTCATTAACACCCAAGAGGTGTGAGTTCTTAACTACTACGGCCCGACAGTCTGGCGCCTCTCAAAACTTGTCTGACTCATGTTGTATGCCAAATATTAAATAAAACACCTTTATGGTGTTACAGTTAAAATCCTCCAGGGTTCGAGCCCCAATCACCCAGCAATAATTGGGAACGTTTTTATAAGCCGATTAGTGGATCGTATTGTGGATAAAACAAGCTTGTCGAAGCTTTAGATTTGTTGAGAGGGAGGCCATCTCCTAACCTGCCAGCGTTAAGCCACAAGCCTTGTTGTGCACTCCGGGGACCAGGGGGGGGGGGGGGCTGGTGCCTGAGACCACGGGGGGGGGGGTCTGGTGCCTGAGACCACGGGTGGGGGGGGGTCTGGCGCCTGAGACCAAGGGGGGGTGGTCTGGTGCCTGAGACCACGGGGGGGGGGGGGTCTGGTGCCTGAGACCACGGGGGGGGGGGGTCTGGTGCCTGAGACCACGGGGGGGGGGGGGGCTGGTGCCTTAAGCACAGACATTGAGTATTCTTGTTCATTACTTGTTCCCCTTAAGACAGCAAAGGCTACTTAATGTTCCACCAGCTCCGTCCCTCTTTGTTCTGTGTAGCATTGAATTCTTCATTTTCACACACACACACACACACACACACACACACACACACACACACACACACACACACACACACACACACACATATATGTGTGTGTGTGTGTGTGTGTGTGTGTGTATATATATATATATATATATATATATATATATATATATATATATATATATTATTTATTTATTTATTTATTTATTTATTTATTTATTTACTTATTTATTGTTCATTGATATATGTGTTATGTAGTAGTAGCCAAGTGATGAGAATATAATGATTAACATTTGCTTTCTTGTTTTTTGTTGTCAGTGGTGGAGCTGCTGGAGGAGTGAGGGAGAAGCAGTGACCACCGCAGAAGAGCAGCAAGAAGAGCATCAGTGGAAGCAGCATCATCAAGCAGAGGCTGAGAGTGTAGCAGGAAGAGTGAGCAGTGTGGCGGTCATGTCCTGGCCTCAGCAGTAGACAATGAGCGAGGAATCAGAGTCCCTGAATGAGGAGGAACGAAGCGTATTCCGACCGTTTACCCGAGAGAGTCTCGCTGCCATAGAAGCCCGCGTCGCAGAGGAACATGCTAAAAAGAATGAACTACAAAAGAAGAAGGAGGAGGGGGAGGTAAGCGCGGTGGGCAGTTGACCTGATGGGCAGGTGGAGGCGGGTATGGTTAGGTTAGGGTACCTTATAGGTCATACAGGTAAGAAACGAAAGCGGAGGAGGAGGAGGAGGAGGAGGAAGGGCGAGTGTCCAGGGCCAGTACCAGATATTTTTGAAGGAGAGGAGACAACAACACAATAATGGCGGGTGTAACTGTTGTAGCAGGAATTAGTAGCCTGGAATGACCAAAAAGATGGTTGACATAGAGGCAAGTCCGCGAAACGTTGCCCGTGTTACGGAGGCACCAGTCTCCTGCACCAAGGCCCTGCCTGGTGCTCGCTCCCCGAGGTCACACTCGAGCAACCACAACCTGTTCCTCTTGCTAGCTGGTTATATCCGTGAGGGAAGCGAGACTGGTGCCTCCGTGCACACATCATACTCCCGCTCCGTGTTGGCTGATAGTAACTGTCCTCTTGTTATCCCCTTGTGCCGCCTCCTTGTTCTAACTTGTTCTTGTAACTTGCATTTAACTTTGGTGTTTTCCCTCAGCTTACAACAGTCTACTTAAAACTGTTCAATTATGACGCCTTGTATGTCTCCAGGCTTTGTTCTGTTTACACTTTGGTGCTTTACCCCCCCCCTTCCCCCGGCCACATACTAGAGGCCCTCATAAGTGTCCATGTGCACTCCACACTTTATTCATGAGGACTCGTCCTCGCTATCTAGAGCAGCCACACTCACACACACACTCCCCTCACTCTTACTGCTTACTCTCTCTCTCTCTCTGGACACCACACATGTGGTAGAGAGAGTGAGCAGAGTGGGTGAGTGGAGCCTGAGTGCAGTGTGAGTGTCAGTGAGTAGTGAGCATCCCTGTAAGCAGTCGTGTATCCTCCAGAATGATGATGATAATCTGTGATCCCTTTATTGAGAACCCTCTATGTAGCCCGCTGCCTCTTCAACACCTGTAAACCCTTGTAGACTCTTACCCTTCAGAGAGCCATTGTCTGGCTCTATTAGAGAGCTCTCACGCTCTCTTAGTACCTTCCCTTCTATATAATTACCACTAATCAATTTCTTTTATATCCAGACAATTTATGCACATACATTATGAATTAATACAACTCTGTTATTACATGCATGATGTATGTGTTATAACTATGCTTTTAGTTAGTTTATGTCTTTGGTAGAGTGTGATAAGTTGCAACCCGTTCTCGCACTTGCTTATAGTCAGTATTGGCTTATTTAATAAGTGCATATGTGACATACTAATTGATTGTGAATATTTTAGTTTACCTTGAAAAGCTTCATAGAAAACACCGACCTCACCTAACCTTCTTAGTTTGTTAAGATAAGCATCTTATTGCTTCTTATTTACAATTATTACTTAACCTATCAACGGTATAGGTTAAGTAATAATTGTAATTAAGAAGGAATAAGATGCTTATCTTAACATACTAAGAAGGTAAGGTGAGGTCGGTGTGTTCTATGAAGCTTTTCAAGGTAAACTAAAATATTCACAATCAATTAGTATGTCACATATGCACTTATTAAATAAGCCAATACTGACTATAAGCAAGTGCGAGAACGGGTTGGCATCAATGTACCTTGTGTAAGGCATCGCTGTACCCGGCCACGTATGGTGTCCACAGGTTGATTGTTGAAGTCACTACATCGTGTGTGTGTGTGTCATGTACTGTGTCGAGTAGATTGTGTCAAGTAGATTGTGCCAAGTAGTGTGTGTGTCAAGTAGTGTGTCAAGTAGATTGTACCAAGTAGTGTGTGTGTCAAGTAGATTGTGTCAAGTAGATTGTGTTAAGTTGAATGAGTGATTTATTTCACATCCATAATTCAGCTAAAATAGAATGTTGTCCCCTGCCTCCCCCAGCACACACTATGGGTAGTCCCCTGCCTCCCCCAGCACACACTATGGGTAGTCCCCTGCCTCCCCCAGCACACACTATGGGTAGTCACCTGCCTCCCCCAGCACACACTATGGGTAGTCCCCTGCCTCCCCCAGCACACACTATGGGTAGTCCCCTGCCTCCCCCAGCACACACTATGGGTAGTCCCCTGCCTCCCTCAGCACACACTATGGGTAGTCTCTTTACTCCCACATGCAACTTCAAACACACACACTCACACACACACACACACACACACACACACACACACACACACACACACACACACACACACACACACACACACACACACACACACACAGCCCAATTTCCCAGCATTTCCAACACAACATAAAAGTTTCCCAAAATCCCCCAGAATTTCTGATAATTTATCTAGAATCTTCCACAATTTCTGTAGGCTGTCCGAAAATCTACCCAAAAATTCCCCAGACTCGCAAAATCTACCCAAAAATTCCCCAGACTCGCAAAATCTACCCAAAAATTCCCCAGACTCGCAAAATCTACCCAAAAATTCCCCAGACTCGCAAAATCTACCCAAAAATTCCCCAGACTCTACCCAAATCTACCCAATAATTGCCATGTTACCCCCTGCACCTGTGTCGTCCTCTCGCCCACCATCTTCTGGACACTTATTATCTATTTCATAATTGTATTTTCTCCTTTTTTTCCTTAATTCCTCCAGGGAGGTGGAATGAAATTTGGAAGAAAAAAGAAAGAAGTAAGATATGCTTGCAATACATCTTTATCATAGATTATTTATTAATATTTTATTATTAGTATTATTTAATTATTATGTTTTATTAACTTTATCATTATTTTTATTCTACAGTTTTATTATCATTATATTATACCGTTTTGTTTGTTCCTTTGAGATGATAGCGTATAACGCCTACTGGTACGGGCTCATACGTGCTGACCACTAAACTAGCGTAGCTCCTGGTACCCGGCTCCCGGTTATAAAGATGGAAATTTAAATAATACAGGGAAACGTCAATTTAGAATTGATTTGCTAGAAATCTCTCATTATCAATAGGAAATATTGCATTCCGTTTAGTGAGAAGTGATTGTTTGTTATTGAGAATCGTTGACGTAGGAAGGTTTTGTTAAAAGCTATTTGATCGAGTTTAAGTTTCCATCTTGACTGGTGGAGACACTTGTCACTCCACCGAGGGACTCACCGCTCAAGAGAGAGTCCGTCATAACACCTGGTGTGTGTGTGAGTGCGTTCCTCCTGCTCCACCACCGCCACCACCAGCACCTCGGCCTTGCTCTTGCTCCCATTGTCACCGTCTCTGCCACACTATAGTGCTTGTCATGTTGCCCGCCTCCTCGTCGGTCCCCACCACTGTCACTCCCACCACCTCCCCACCACTGGCATACCTACACATCCCTCCCCACCACCACCACCTCACCAGCAACGGACCGCCACTCGCCAAGAGTCTTACCCCTCCCTGCTCCATCAACCGACCCCTGCCCCATGAGCCGGTTCCCTTTCCTTCTTATACCAATCACTGCCAAGAGTTTCGTGAGAGTCAGCAGCAGCGCGGGAAGGGGGGTTAAGGCAGGCTGGCTCTCACTGGGCAAGAGAGCACTTGAGTGAGACAAGGTGCAGCATCTCAGGCGCCCACAGACGTGTTAAGAGCTCCTCCACTCCACGAAACTCTTGCAGACTTGGCCAAACAGTGACTCTGGCGATAAATATGACCTTTCTCTCGACTTCCACTCGTGACAAATGGCCTCATTTATCCCCCCCCCCTGCATGAGGCGCAACAGTCCGGTAGCTCCAGCATCATAGTCACCACTTAACCAGACCATTACTAGTAAGGCTGTCGTTAAGTCACTCCTTCATCACGCCTCAATAACTTACTCTAACAGACAAAACAGCATAGGATATAGCTGTCATTTTTGCACTCTTTAGGCTCAGACTTTTTGTTTTTGTTTTTTTGTGCCTTTTAGCCTGTCTTTATCACTCTTTATTTTGCTCTATTTTGTTTATCCTCTTGTTTATTGTTTGCTTGGAGTTTGTTTATATATTTTATGGCTCTTTGCTCTTATGCTTGTGGCTTGTTGGAGAGTGAACTCTTGGGGGTCCTCTCTGTTGTTGCTGTGTTACCTCTTATTGCTGTGTTACCTCTCTTCTTGCTGTGTGTTACCTCTCTTCTAGCTGTGTTACCTCTCTTATTGCTGTGTGTTACCTCTCTTATTGCTGTGTGTTACCTCTCTTCTTGCTGTGTTACCTCTCTTATTGCTGTGTTACCTCTCTTCTTGCTGTGTTACCCCTCTTATTGCTGTGTGTTACCTCTCTTCTAGCTGTGTTACCCCTCTTATTGCTGTGTGTTACCTCTCTTCTAGCTGTGTTACCCCTCTTATTGCTGTGTTACCTCTCTTATTGCTGTGTTACCTCTCTTCTAGCTGTGTTACCTCTTATTGCTGTGTTACCTCTCTTATTGCTGTGTTACCTCTCTCTTCTTGCTGTGTTACCTCTCTTATTGCTGTGTTACCCCTCTCTTCTTGCTGTGTTACCTCTCTTATTGCTGTGTGTTACTTCTCTTCTAGCTGTGTTACCTCTCTTCTAGCTGTGTTACCTCTCTTCTAGCTGTGTTACCTCTCTTCTTGCTGTGTTACCTCTTCTTGCTGTGTTACCTCTCTTCTAGCTGTGTTACCTCTCTTCTAGCTGTGTTACCTCTCTTCTTGCTGTGTTACCTCTTCTTGCTGTGTTACCTCTCTTCTAGCTGTGTTACCTCTCTTCTAGCTGTGTTACCCCTCTTCTAGCTGTGTTACCTCTTATTGCTGTGTTACCTCTCTTATTGCTGTGTGTTACCTCTCTTCTTGCTGTGTTACCTCTTATTGCTGTGTTACCTCTCTTCTAGCTGTGTTACCTCTCTTCTAGCTGTGTTACCCCTCTTATTGCTGTGTTACCTCTCTTATTGCTGTGTGTTACCTCTCTTCTAGCTGTGTTACCTCTCTTCTTGCTGTGTTACCTCTTATTGCTGTGTTACCTCTCTTCTTGCTGTGTTACCCCTCTCTTCTAGCTGTGTTACCCCTCTTATTGCTGTGTTACCTCTCTTATTGCTGTGTGTTACCTCTCTTCTAGCTGTGTTACCTCTCTTCTAGCTGTGTTACCCCTCTTCTTGCTGTGTTACCCTCTCTTCTTGCTGTGTTACCCCTCTTCTTGCTGTATTACCTCTCTTATTGCTGTGTTACCTCTCTTCTTGCTGTGTTACCCTCTCTTCTTGCTGTGTTACCCTCTCTTATTGCTGTGTTACCTCTCTTCTTGCTGTGTGTTACCTCTCTTCTTGCTGTGTGTTACCTCTCTTATTGCTGTGTTACCTCTCTTCTTGCTGTGTGTTACCTCTCTTCTAGCTGTGTTACCCCTCTTATTGCTGTGTTACCCTCTCTTCTTGCTGTGTGTTACCTCTCTTCTTGCTGTGTTACCCCTCTCTTCTTGCTGTGTTACCCCTCTTCTTGCTGTGTTACCCCTCTCTTATTGCTGTGTTACCCTTCTCTTATTGCTGTGTTACCACTCTTCTTGCTGTGTTACCTCTCTTCTTGCTGTGTTACCCTCTCTTCTTGCTGTGTTACCTCTCTTATTGCTGTGTTACCACTCTTCTTGCTGTGTTACCCCCTCTTCTTGCTGTGTTACCTCTCTTCTTGCTGTGTGTTACCTCTCTTCTTGCTGTGTTACCCTCTCTTCTTGCTGTGTTACCTCTCTTCTTGCTGTGTTACCTCTCTTATTGCTGTGTTACCTCTCTTCTTGCTGTGTTACCCCTCTTCTTGCTGTGTTACCCTCTCTTCTTGCTGTGTTACCTCTCTTCTTGCTGTGTTACCCCTCTTCTTGCTGTGTTACCCCTCTTCTTGCTGTGTTACCCTCTCTTCTTGCTGTGTTACCCTCTCTTCTTGCTGTGTTACCCTCTCTTCTTGCTGTGTTACCCTCTCTTCTTGCTGTGTTACCCTCTCTTCTTGCTGTGTTACCCTCTCTTCTTGCTGTGTTACCCCTATTCTTGCTGTGTTACCTCTTATTGCTGTGTTACCTCGCTTGCTGTGTTACCTCTCTTGCTGTGTTACCTCTCTTCTTGCTGTGTTACCTCTCTTGCTGTGTTACCCCTCTTCTTGCTGTGTTACCCTTCTTCTTGCTGTGTTACCCCTCTTCTTGCTGTGTTACCCTTCTTCTTGCTGTGTTACCTCTCTTCTTGCTGTGTTACCCCTCTTCTTGCTGTGTTACCCCTCTTCTTGCTGTGTTACCCTCTCTTCTTGCTGTGTTACCTCTCTTATTGCTGTGTTACCCTCTCTTCTTGCTGTGTTACCCTCTCTTCTTGCTGTGTTACCTCTCTTATTGCTGTGTTACCCTCTCTTCTTGCTGTGTTACCCCTCTTCTTACTGTGTTACCTCTCTTCTTGCTGTGTTACCCTCTCGTCTTGCTGTGTTACCTCTCTTCTTGCTGTGTTACCCTCTCTTCTTGCTGTGTTACCCTCTCTTCTTGCTGTGTTACCTCTCTTATTGCTGTGTTACCCTCTCTTCTTGCTGTGTTACCCCTCTTCTTACTGTGTTACCTCTCTTCTTGCTGTGTTACCCTCTCTTCTTGCTGTGTTACCTCTCTTCTTGCTGTGTTACCCTCTCTTCTTGTTGTGTTACCTCTCTTATTGCTGTGTTACCCTCTCTTCTTTCTGTGTTACCTCTCTTCTTGCTGTGTTACCTCTCTAATTGCTGTGTTACCCTCTTTTCTTGCTGTGTTACCCCTCTTCTTGCTGTGTTACCCTCCCTTCTTGCTGTGTTACCCTCTCTTCTTGCTGTGTTACCTCTCTTCTTGCTGTGTTACCTCTTTTCTTGCTGTGTTCCCTCTTTAATTGCTGTGTTACCCCTCTTCTTGCTGTGTTACCCCTCTTCTTGCTGTGTTACCCTCTCTTCTTGCTGTGTTACCCTCTCTTCTTGCTGTGTTACCTCTCTTCTTGCTGTGTTACCTCTCTTGCTGTGTTACCCCTCTTATTGCTGTGTTACCTCTCTTCTTGCTGTGTTACCTCTCTTATTGCTGTGTTACCCTCTCTTCTTGCTGTGTTACCCCTCTTCTTGCTGTGTTACCCTCTCTTCTTGCTGTGTTACCTCTCTTATTGCTGTATTACCCCTCTTCTTGCTGTGTTACCCCTCTTCTTGCTGTGTTACCCCTCTTATTGCTGTGTTACCTCTCTTCTTGCTTGTTACCTCTTCTTGTTGTGTTACCTCTCTTCTTGCTGTGTTACCTCTCTTCTTGCTGTGTTACCTCTCTTCTTGCTGAGTTACCCCTCTTCTTGCTGTGTTATCTCTGTTATTGCTGTGTTACCTCTCTTATTGCTGTGTTACCTCTCTTCTCGCTGTGTTACCTCTCTTCTTGCTGTGTTACCTGTCTTGCTGTGTTACCCTCTCTTCTTGCTGTGTTACCTCTCTCCTTGCTGTGTTACCTCTCTTATTGCTGTGTTACCCTCTCTTCTTGCTGTGTTACCCCTCTTCTTGCTGTGTTACCTCTCTGCTTGCTGTGTTACCTCTAATTGCTGTGTTACCCTCTCTTCTTGCTGTGTTCCCTCTCTAATTGCTGTGTTACCTCTCTTATTGCTGTGTTACCCCTTTTCTTGCTGTGTCACCCCTCTTCTTGCTGTGTCACCCCTCTTCTTGCTGTGTGTTACCCTCTCTTCTTCCTGTGTTACCTCTCTTCTTGCTGTGTTACCACTCTTCTTGCTGTGTTACCCC